TTAAATACAAAATAGCCTCTCCTTGTATGCTCATTATAAAAACAAAAAGAGGCTGTGGAGCATTGGCTTGCCTAAATATTTCATCAGCAAGAACAGTATTCTTCAAAGATTACAACTTAGGACACGGTTGAAAGCATATTCTGACTGAAAGATCTGATTTTTGTCTGCTCCTGACAGTGATTTCTAGTGGCACGCAGTTAGTGTCTCAATTCTGAAAATCAAAACTTCCTTGCTCCCATTACATTGATCAGGTGTATATGTTGGGGAAGAAATGGTGGATAGCAGGGTAGAATTAATGGGGGAGAGGAAAAAAACCCTGTTATTATTCAAATGTAAATAAATGCATATATAATAGTGTCTGCCCTGGGATCTAGGGGCTTTATCATCAATAAAACCACACTATAAAAATATTACTAAAACCACATATAGCATATTCTCCCTCATACAAGCAACAATGAAGTGAAAAATATATTAAAAACAAAAAATCTCTCCCAGTTCCATAGCAAGGAAGTTTGGGTAAGACAGAAAAACACCACCCCCAAACTTTAATAGCGCCTTTATTAGATTCATTACTCCCTTTATGTGCTCTGTCCCAAGTCAGCAATTAAAGAAACAAACTTATAAAGTCTTTATAGGGGCATTTAGGCTGATACCAAGCTCGGGGTAGAAAGAGCCCTCAGTGGCTTGGTCCATCCAGGCGCCAGGCAGTAGGGGTGTCTGAAGCGGGCTCTATTTGATTCGGATTCAGCCGGATTTGGGGGACAGTGATTTGATTTGCTGATTTGGACTGTCCCAATTCAATTTGGCCAAATCTTAATCTGAAGATTCAATTCTGATTCGGAGAATCAGTGATTCAGCCATAGACACAGATTTATATGTTTTTTCTATGTACCTTGAGGTACCAGGTGCAGCTTGTGAATGCTGAGATGGTGTGGAGGATGGAGTGTCCCACAGGAGCGTGGTGTGGGGGTAGTCCCCTGTGTGCTTGGTGGTGGACCCAGAAGTGGAACAGAAGTATTGTATTTCCGGTCCACTTCCAGGTATGCTGCTGAGTGCACAGGGGACCCGCCCAACACTTCCCCTTGCCCCCCTCCCTGGATCTGATCAGTCATGGGGGGACCCCAGGTGCTACCTCAGACCCAGGAGGCACCAGTCACTGAGCCAGTGGGTGTCCCCCATGTGCTGCACGGCAGACACGGAAGTGGACCAGAAGTACTTTGAAGTACTTTTGTTGCATAAAACTCAGAAACACTACACCAGGTCAGAATTGTTCTAACATTATGGATTCTTATTTTAATTCATTGGGTTTATCTTGTGACCCATATTTGCAAACTTAACAGTGCTGACATTGCATGGCATCCTGCAGCACCCCTGAAACTTTGAAGCTAGATGTATGGTGCATTTGAAACTCTTTACGTACTTCTGGTCCACTTCTGGATTCTCTGCTGAGTGCATGGGGGACCCCCCATGCTGCCGTGGGACACTCCATCTGCCCCACCATATCACTGTTCACAAGACATGCCTGGTATCCTGAGATACATAGAAAAAACATAAAGCTGTGTCTATGGCTGAATCTTCGAATCTCTCTGAATCAGTTCAGAGGCTTCTGATTCAATTCAGAGAGATTAAAGGGTCTCCTGATTCAATCCAGATTTGGAGATTCAGCCACCAAACTGGGCTGAATCTCCTCCAAATTGAATCGCCAACTGAAGCTTCTCACAGTCCTACCAGGCAGGTGGAAATCAGCCCCCCACAGCTCAAAGGCACAGTGTTGCAACAGGGCAGGTGTTGCTGTTTCTTTCCTGCGCTCCAGGAATAGGGCTGTGGCCAGGCAGAGCGAGCTCTACGGCCATTGTTTTACCCACCTCACCCCAGGCAGGATTGGGCCCGCAGGCCCTGGTACTGCTTGGGTGTAATCTCTGTCCCCCACCCTGAGCAGTGTCCATGTGCCAGGGCTGCACCACCCACCAGAGAGAGCGACCCCTGTGAGCTGGGAGGGTGGGGAACACTAGGCTGCAGCACATGTGGCTGTACGGTGGAGAGGCGTGTCTGTCTTTGCAGTACTGGCCTGTGGTACAGCCAGTCTCTGGGTGGGGTCTGAGCCACTGGGCACAACCTGCACCTATGCTATCACCCCTCTGGTTGCCCAAGCCCTGCCACACCCTTCCAGCCTCCCACTCGACTTGCGACTCACCCGTTCAACTCCTGCTCAACTCACCCATTAGCACCCCTTCACTTAGGCACCCAGGTGAGTGTCCCTGCTTGCACCTCCCTGGTTATGGTACTGATCCATTTGGTAAAACCATCTCCAATGTTCACCCAATAGATGGAGTTATATTCTGTACCCTGAAGAGTAAATATTTTGAACAAATGTGTAGAGAACAAATTCCAAAAACAAAAAATCCTTGGCTATATTGTCCTGTCCATAGCCAACTCTTTTCAATGCAGAAGGGAGGCCTGGCTCAGAAATGTCTGTTGACTGTAGCAGAGGGAGGCCTTCTCTCAGGTAGGCAGGTCCTGAGGTTTTCATACCTAGTAGGCTTATGGTCCTTAGAAATTTGGATGGGGAGCAAAAGGATCAAAAAAGATGCAGACAAAAAGTTATGCCTAAGGGTCCTGCTATACCCACTGCTAGTCTGGCCTTCCATCAGCAGTGTGACTGTAGCCAACGTAAGCCCAAGTTTTTTGGTAAAAGCCATGGATGGCACACAAGATTGAGATGAAGGTAAATATATTCCAGCTGAGTACAATGGCATGTAGGAGAGACCATAATGATGCATGCTTAGCATAACCAGGACAGAGAGGCAACATGGCTGGGCCGACTATAGTGAATCAAGTAGCTGACCTATAAGGGGTGGGGCTCTGTGGAGTAATGGTTAAGAAGTACTAGCCAGTTTGAGAAGGAAAAATAAGTAGTGAAAATGCTCTTTTATTAGTTTAAAACAGTAGTTCAAGGCTTCCTAGGACTCTTCATTTCACATTCTGACTAGGGAAAGTCTTGGCTATTTTAAACAAAACTTTGAAGCTAGATGTATGGTGCATTTGAAACTCTTTAAGTTCATACTTTGTGTTGGAGGATCTTACTTTTCAACTCTGGGGCAAACTAGTCACCAGATATGGGGTAGAAAGGAATTTCCCCCCCTAAATCAGTTTGGGATGGGCTGCAAGGTTTTTGCTTTCTTGGCAGTGTGAGGCTTGTTCTTCCCAGGAGCACCTGGGTATGCAGTAATCTAAAACCTACTTTGTCGGGCCACTGGTTTTGCCATTTTCTCTTGTGCTTCTTGAAACCAAAGAGCCTAGGCAGGTTTTTGGTTTGAATGTGAGCATTACTTTTTCAGCATGGGATATTAACTTAAAAGTCCCAATTGTAGAACTACAAAACACTAGAACTCTTGGTTCAGAGATGATACTTTTTATTAGACCAATTAAAAATTGTAAAAAAATGTATCTTTTTTTTCTGCAAGCTTTAAGGCACATGTGCCCTTCTTCAGACTCAGGGAAAATTAAAGATGATACAGAGTCCCCATAGGTAGAAAATAAATTTAGTTTTTGCACAGAAGAAGTTGAAGTTGGAAGTCTGTTCCTCTGGGTCCATGAGGATGTCTTTGTGAGTTGCTCTTATGTGCAGATAAGGCTGGATTCGAATGGTAGAACAGTGTTTTGACATCAAACGTATGCAGAAATAGATTTCTTAAGACAGTTTTCTACCACATGTTGTAACAGGGTCCAATTCCAGAGGTGGCCATGATTCCCCTAGAGCCCCCTCAGTCCTTGTCAACTTGGCCCTCTTGGGCAATTTCCCCTTCTCCTCGCCTGACACCTTAATCAAATGATACTTTCAGAAAAGGGAGGCTGCCTCAGGGCTTCCCAAGTCTTCTCATGAGTGCTGGTATTGCTGCTCATCAGGAGAGTCATCTTAAGGGCTATTTACATGGGCTCCATTCTCCCCCAATACCCACATCCATGCCTCACTGATGTTATATATACTACTCAATCATAACTTCCCCTATGGGCTACAGGCTCCTGGCTCTGTTCACCCTTACACCAGTTTCTTTCTGGGCTATAGACACTCTGGCTCTCTTGGTCTCCGGTGGCCCTCCTGGCCTTTGATCCTTCTCCTGAGACCCATCCTGAGCCCTGGGCCTGCTCCTATGTCAGTGAAACCTATGGGCACCCTGGCTGTACCTGCACCCTGGGCCCTCCACTCCCTGCTCACTCTGCCCACTGGCCCTCCATTCTCTCTCTCCCTGAGCCAGCTGGGACCTCCTTATCTCCCCTTAGTCCCTTCCACAAACCACCAGACATTTCCCAGGCTGCATGCTCTGTTCCACCAGCCCTAAGGCTGAGCTCCCTGTCCTAAGGCTGCATAGCTACAGGCATACTCAGTGTGAGCCAGAGTCACTTCCTCACCGCTCAGGAGCTCTTTCCTCATCTGCTGCCAGGATAAGACTCCTGACCCCAGCTCAGACTCTGGGTTTATATTTTCCCTAAGCCTGCCCTTTTGTTGGTCAGGTGACTCTCCTGATTGCCACCTGAGCACTCACTGCAACCTCTTCCCTTCTTGAAGTGAAAGGCATGCCAAGTGCCCTGTCACACATGTTCAATGGTGTTGCAAAACAAGCTGAAAGGGTTGTGTTAAAGTGTTACCTCCAGTTTAATTATTGGTTAGAATCTTATGGATGAAATGCTGTGCCTCTCCACATGATCTCCCTCTAAATCACTAATTCAAGCCATCTCGCAAAATGTCACTGCTAGAAATATAGCTCCCAGGAAATCTTATTGAAGAAATGACATGCAAGTGTTGGGGTTTTTTTCAGTTTTCCTAACTTTTGGGTCATTTTAACAGTAATGGTGTATTTTGATATGAATTTTTAGTACAGATGCATTTTTCACCCAGAAGTAGATGTCAATACTTCATTTCTAAATTTAGACAATGATGTGATGCATACTTCTTGGAAAATGAACCTAATCTTTAACTTGGGCAGATTTGCTAGAAAAACCTATCTTCATAATAAGAATCAGTCCATTCTTGAGATTTCTGCCCTAAAAAAATGTCAGTAAAGATTTAACAATTTAAAAACATATGCAGTCCCAAATGCCAGAGCAGTGAAGACAAAACCTATTTATTCATGTCCCTGGAATACCAAAGAAATATGTGGTGATCCTTCATGGTACCTCATTGACTTCAGTGGATACTGGGTTGAAACAAGTCTGGTGTGTTGTCAATAGGTTAAGAGAAATGATTGTTTCCCTCTATTCAGCACTGGTGAGGCCACATCTGGAGTACTGTGTCCAGTTTTGGGCCCCCCAGTACAGAAAGGACATGGACAAATTGGAGAGAGTCCAGTGGAGGGCAACAAAAATGGTGACAGGGCTGGGGCACATGACTTATGAGGAAAAAGCAAGGGAACTGGGCTTATTTAGTCTAGAGAAGAGAAGACTCGGGAGGGATTTATTAACAGCCTTCAAGTACCTGAAGAGGGGTTTGAAAGAGGATGAAGCTAGGCTGTTTTCAGTGGTGGCAGATGACAGAACAAGGAGCAATTGTCTCAAGTTGCAGCAAGGGAAGTTTAGGTTGGGTATTAGGAAGAATTTTCTCACTAGGAGGGTAGTAAAACACTGGAACAGGTTACCCAGAGAGGTGGTGCAATCTCCATCTTTAGAGGGTTTTAAGACTCGTCTACACAAAGTCCTGGCTGGGATGATGTAGCTGGGGTTGGTCCTGCTTGGACTAGATGGGACCTCCTGGGGTCCCTTCACACCCTGATTTTTTTAATTCTATAAATACCGATGAACAGATATTAGAAG